CTCTCCCATTCGAATGTTCCGAAAAAGGGGAAATTACGTACTCATTATTCGACTCTTTTTCTTATAGGAGTTAATAGATTAAATATCTAATTTTGATGAAAAGTAGAATTGCAGGAAGTTCCAAATTGTCCCTTTATCAAATGACAGTGCACCTATTATTATGTGTTAATGTTTCGCTGTGCTGTTTTATTATAATACATGCGTAAATTGCCTTGTACTCAATGCATTTTAGCTGTTATATTGAATTGCTTTCTGTTTTCGAGCATTATAGAGCATTAGATGAACTAGTATTGCAAATTCCTAAAGGAGTTTGATTATATTCTTGCCGCTGTACATTTCGCAGTGAACTATTTTGAACTTGGCGTACTCAAAAGGGATGAGAAGTGGAAACCTATAATGACAACTCAAAACAACTTACAGGGGCTTTTTACTCGAAGTGGCCATTCAAAACAAGATATACTCCAAAATAACAAGTTGTGTATGGAAAACTGAAATCTGTCTTCCATATCTGCGAAATTTCTGGAAGAAGATATGGACACTTGTTCCCATGTACAATACGGAGTACTTGTGCGACCACTCTATCTGTTAGGATGGGCAGTGGTAAGTGTCTTGCTTTGCAATTGTGCGATGTAGGCTCGAATCCTGTGGCCGGCGAAAGTTTTGCGTTTTTTTGCAATTACCTGTTTTTGCTAGAGAAAGCTTCACTAACTTGTTGAATTATTGTCCAATGTCAAGTTAAGCCAATGATTAGATGTTAATTTGAAATCATTTACCCCATGAACATATATGATAGTCGTCTATAAAGAGTTAAAACATAATAGCTGCTCACAGTCAACGCATTGAAGGAGATGTTCTTCGCCGCAATTGTTTGCACCGCAACATCCTATGAGATCAGGAGGGAAGGAAAACTGAGCAGGAATGTATAAATATTCACGACTATTAGATACAAATTAATTGTTTTCAAGGTTTATTGCAAATATACATTATTGCAAAAGCGCAAAACGATTGCCGACTATAAGATTCGAAAGCCTGCACCATACACCTCCAAAGCAGGACACTTACTACTGCGCCACCCTAGCACTTGCAGTGTTTGCGCAAGTACTACGTATTGTAGGTGGCCTCATAGGAACAAGTGCCCATATCTTCTTCCAGAAAATCGTTTCGCAGGTGAGGAAGACAGATTTGAGTTCCCCATGTCTAACTTGTTATTATGGGATATATCTTGTTTTGAATGGCCACTTCGAGTTAAAAGTATTCCCTTGTTAGAAAAAGGTCCTACAAAAGTACTTACTGTGTGATCATTTAAAAAAAAACGAATGTAAACCAAAGAGCCGTTTTAAATTTGGTTCTTCTTTAAATAAAAGATCTTGTACCCTTTTGCATTGCGTCTGAATTCTAGAAGCCTTTAGCGCTTGCGCGAGCACTATTATAGGCTAATAGTTTTGAGACGTCGAAAACGCGTTTAGTAAGCCTCATTTAGTAGATTCAGTCGAAGCACGATAATGCTTAATGCTCTAATTGTAAGACTTTATATAAAGTTACGGTAACCTTACGGCAAATAAGGCTACTTACAAATTTACTCCATAATCCCTTACATGTCAGTGCAAGACCGCGTATAAGGGGAAAAGTTCAAGCTAGCTCTTCTATCGTTCAGATCCATAAAGAACTCATAAAAGATTACTAACAATCAGATAACGATCAATTTTTGAGACACACTTTATACTTTGTTTACGGTCTCGTGACCTCCTAGAGAAGGGTAGTAGGCAGTTGTGAATAA